CTGCAGCAGCATTCAAAGTTGACAGCTACAAGACAAGACTGTTCCCCTAAAACTGCAGAACATGACAACCGCTTGTGTACACGACCAAAACAAGCATAGGTACCCAGATAATAGCCAATTAGCTTGGTGAACATTAGCCAGACTGGCTGCCAAATGTTGCTCTATTAAGCCGAGCAGCGGTAGAGGTTGTTCGGTTTACGGCAGGAGGAGCCGTGCGGGTCGGGCTCCACCGTGTGCGGGCCTCGGCGTGAAAAAGCACCGTGTCAACAAGCGGAATCAGTCCTGTCTGACTGTGCTTTTTGATGCATTGGACACAGCATCTGAACTAGCTGGGGGTTAGCATGCCAAGCGTCAGCTGTCTGGCTACCGTTAGTTAGCTAGCCTGCTAGCTTGTTGTAACGAAAATGAATTAGAGGGCGAGCTCGGCTACGCTAATAACGTTTCGCCGTTTAATTCGCGAACCGTGACCGGGACCGGGACCGTCGACGACACCGCGGCCCGGATTCCGACCTCGAATTGTCGAAGTGAAAAAAGGGCAGCCAGGCCCGCGTCAGGGTGTCGAGCCAAGGGGCCAGGCAAGGCCAGGGCCAGGCCGAGTTAGCACGGGTTAGCCTAGCATGCTAGCTAACAGCCGTTGCGTTTGCAGGGGGAGAGCGAAGAAGAAGAAGAGAGAGACGCTTTTCAGCCACTAACGCTCCTGTCTGCGTCAAATCAAACCGCAAACTGTGCGTTCTTACCCGGGCATGCCAGCGAGTGCGTACCGGCGCTACAGCGGAGGAGCAGCCGAGCGCTACAGCGTTTGCGAGCCGAGGAAGAATAAGAATAAGGAGCCTACCCATTAGTTCTCTGCCTCTGCTGCTTCTCCTACACTGGGATATTGGAAATGATGGAGAGCCGCAGTGCGCCTGCGCGGCAGGAGCAGCCAGCAGATGGGAGGTGATGCACGTTTCCTCCGGAGCGCACAGACACGAGCCGTAACGGGGAAAAGTTACCGACAGAACCGCGCCGTGAATGAGGATCCACCGGAGCCGTGGGTGGGGTGACTCACACGGAGCCGCGGCTCCACGGAGGGGCCCGCACACAGAGGTCCGGGGGCCTCCAGGGGCCCCTCAGGGAGCCCCGGCTTGGCCCCTGTAAAATATAAATAGTTCAAACATGTTTTATTTCACTTGTTTGACTTCAGACCTGCGACAGAATATTAGATGAAGGATATGTGGTCAGCAGGTGAACTCTGAGAATAATATCCCTGCACTTAAGCTGCTGCTTAAAGCATAGAAGTCAAACACATTAAGTTTTTATGTATTAACTATTATATTTATTCTTATACATCTATATAACAGTTAGTTATCAACTATTTAGTTGACATCATTAATCATAATTTATGTTTGACAAGTGATTAATCAGTAATTTTAAGATTTAAAAAGCCAGATTTATTTTATTTATTTGGTTTATTTTTTCCTGGTATTTGACAGTGATCCAAACAATTAATCAATTAATGATGAAGATAATTATAAGATATTGTATTGTTCTGTTATAGTGGGTGTGTGTACGTGTGTGTGTGGGTGTGTGTACGTGTGTGTGTTTGTGTTTAATGTACTAATGATTATGTACATGTATTATGAATTATATATTTTTTTAGAAATACATATAAATATATAAAAATAAATCTGTATATAATCATATAACTATTACATTTTCAGGGTGGGAAACATGTGAACAAAAAAAAAACCTCCCATTTCTCTTATTCCAGCTTCTTTCTTCCTCTCTGACAGTAAACTGATGATCTTTGTACTTTTGTCGTTGCTATTTTTAACCATTTGTTGACATTTTATTGACTAAACTCCATTAAGTAAGTGAAAAAAATAAAGAAAGTAATCACTGGATCAAGAAGATAATCAGTGAAAATAACAATAATTCCTGTTCACATACATGGTGTGTGTACATAAGTGTATACGTGTGTATTTCATTTATTTGCTTGTCTTTTCCTTTTGTTGTGCGTACGTCTGCACTGAGGTTTGTTCAGGTGTTTATGTGTAAATCTATACATGTGACGGTGATATTTACTTGTTTTCTTCCTCTTTTATCCATTTCTCCTGCAAACACACATATTGATGTAACTGATATTCACATCTCTGGACCTGAATGTTCCTGCTTTGTTCTCGCGACCAAAATCTCGGCTATTTTCGTGCAATCATGTTAAACCACAGAACTCCTCTGCTTGTTGCTTTTCTTCTTCTTCTTTTTGCAAAAAAAATCTCATTTAGGAGTTTAGAGTTTTTGTTTTACGGCTGAGTGGGCTTGTGTCTGACAGAAAAGTGAAGGCAAAGATCAAAACAAATGACACACAGCAGCAGTCGGAGCAGAACAGCACAGCACAGCTTTTCATCTTTAACTTTGACCAAACTCACACAAACATATGTTTTTCTTGAGTCCATATAACTGAAGGAAACAAGCAAAAAGTGTTGAAAGAGCGTCTAACTTTTCCAAACACGGGCCTCATTTTGTTATTTAAGCTACTTTAGTCTTCATATATTGAATAAATTGGATTGAAATGAGCAAAAGCAATGATTAAAGAGGGTAAATGCACATTTTAAAATGAAATTATATGTTGTTTTTAAATTAAATACATGCTCATTAATGTTGTTTTTCTAGTAGCTTGGAGGTATTGTGTTAAATTAATGAGGCGTAATGTGATCATGTTATTGCACAATGAGCTGCAAAGTGTTGCAATCATATTAATTAATCACATTAATTTGTTTGTAATAAGTTTCATGTTAAAACTTTGACTCTTTATAGTATCTGATCCGATTTGCTGTATTTAAGCGTGTGAAAATATAAAAAAATAAAAAATAAAAAACACACAGTGGCACTGAAGCAAAAAAACAGACACTCAGCAAAATAATTTCCTGAGATAAACAAAGGTCAAAAAAACCGCAGAGTTCAGTCGTCTGAAGTGAAAACGAGATGCAGCTCGAGGTGCAAACACTTGAATCTCGTCTGAAGGTCAAACCTGAGGAGACGTTAAATGAATTCTGCCGGGAAAGAAGCGCTTCATGTATTTTTAAGGGCAAACACAGAGCCGGAGATGTGAGCGGAGGGTCGTATTTTAGAATAATGTGACAGGATAAATGTGAGCAGAGACGATTTGTGAGATATCTGGTGGTTTACTCTGTTTTTTTTGTTGTTGTTGTTTTTTTCATCCTTCAAACCAAAAGCCGCAGGAAGCTTCTTAAGTATCTCCAGAGCTTCTCCTTCTTCTTCTTCTTGGTGGCTTTGAATGAGTCAAAGATGTTGTTGTGCAGGAAAAACCTTCAGTCACTCATCCATTGATGAAAATCAGAGCCGTGGTGGCAGTTATGGCTTCACAGATCTACAAGATCTACTTATAATTACATATAATAACCTCCATTTAGGCAATCAGGGATATAGTTTTTTAAATATGTACAAGAAACCTTTAGATTTAGTCAGAATTACACAGATGTTCCCTAAAGTCAAGTATTTATTAAGTTCAGAGTAGATTTTGGGCATATAAGCTCAGAAAAAACGTATAATTGCAGTTTAACCATCTTCAAAAGTTTTAAATAAGATTTCTGTAACTAATTAACACTGAGGCTGACTTGTTTTGTTCTTGTTTGAGGCCAAACTGCTCAAAAATGCTGAAAGATGCATTTAAAAAAGACAAAATTCCCCACTTTTACTAAATAGTTTTATCCCATAATATACCAGCACAATATATCTGCTTTCTCAAACTCATCCGTCCTCCAGGGAAATGTTTAAAACAGCCTTCAGCTTAATATAACAATAAAATAATTATAAACAAATAAATGATAATATATTGGATTTTTAACTAAATTGTAAAAGTTAAAATTTTACTTTAATATTTCTTTTTGATTTAATGTTAATCTGGGTGATATCCTATATTGTTTTTAATGTTAATACCAAAAGTATCAATTCATATTTTAATACTTTTCCATCTCTATCCTGTCTGTATCTGCAATTTAACACATTTATTTTTTTAAACTATAATATATTATTTTTTTGTTGTTCAGATGGTTTTATTTTAATCATGAGAACATTTACAAAATACTTGTTTTTGATTTGATTGTCAGATAAGTGATATTCTATTTTCCTGTTCCTGTCAATAAAATTTTATCTTCTTTAACTTTTAACATTTCTGTTTGAATAAATGCTAAGATTGGCTATATGTTTTAGTTATGTTATTGTCAGACAAAAAAACAATCAATCAGTCAATCAAAATCAACAAGGTGGGAGTCTGTATTTTAATATTTTGTCATTTACCTGCATCTCGCTGCTCTGTCAACCTCAAAATGTAAATAATTCTGTAAAATATTGTTTTATGACAATAATAAAATATAAACAAATAAATTAGAATTTATTACATTCAATGTCTTTTTTTGTTGTTTTATGTCTTTTAATATTTACAAGATGAAAAATATTTTAATTATAAGATTGGTGATTCCATATATCTATTATTGTCCACAGACAAACAAACAAACCACTCTGCTGTTTCAAGCTCAACATGTAAATCTAAAAACAAGTCAGTTATATATTATTACACTATTATTTTAAATAAATAAAATCAGTAATTTTCTAAAAATGTTTACATGTAGGAAACAAAACAAATACAAAATTAATTAAAACAGTGGCTTTACTGGGGACTATTTTAATCTTTTATCCATTTTAGTTACAATCAGTTCACTGTTGGAGAAAAATAAAATATATAACCAGATTTAATACAAATAAAACAATTTTCATTTGTTGAATTGAAAATAAATTGCAATAAACTATTCTCCAAAGAAGCACTTTTTAAAATTATTATTAAAATTATTATTAATAAGTTTATCGTCATTACTATTTCTATTCTATTCTATTCTATTCTATTCTATTCTATTCTATTCTATTCTATTCCATTCTATTCTATTCTATTCTATATTCTCTCGGCGCTTCAGCCAATCAGCGTTGAGATACAGCCAAACCCGGAAGTGTCATTGCCCTCAGAGCTGAATTCCCGCGAAGATTGAGAGTCTGGCCACTTTCTCTGGGTAAGTCTGTTATTAATGTGTGTTTGTACACAATTTAACCAACTAACATCTATTTAACTTCACGGTAAAGGTTAGAAATGTGAAGCATGTGGCTGTTTTGTGTCCGCAGCGCTGCTATAAAGCTCCGGCGAGAATCAGTGCAACGTGGAGAGGAGCGACACCAAACTCCATTCGGAAATCATACCACTTTAGTTTTTTCTTTCCTACCGGCTCATATTAATACAGTCTTAAAGAACAACGGCTGCTTTTTCTGGATAATTCGGAGCCACTTTATAATTCGGCATAGATAACACACGCCAAAACATGAAGGATCTTTATCATATTTTGAAGACTTCTTTTCTGAAGACATTCACATAAGGATTTACTAAAGTGAAAATCCTGTACAAATAAATGTTAATGTTGCATGAGCTGTATGCCGAATTCAAAGGTGTTTAGTGCTGATCTGTAATGAATCTGAGCTCATGTTCCAACATGAATGTATGTATGTCATAAAGCGATGTTATTTTGTTTTGCTTAATATTTGAATGGAGTTTGGTGTAAGTTTGAGCTCAGAGTGTCTCAACTACTGAGTTTGTGCATTTAATTATCACAAAACTGCTCTTGCTAAGGTTTTGTTCTACACTGGGTTAAATACACAATTATATCACATTTAACATATATAAATACGACTTGTTGTGCAGCTGCTAAACGGACTAAATGCCACTTTGAAGTGCAGTGAACTGATGTCAGCATGTTTTTCATTTAGAGTCACATCATCATGAGTAAGAGGAAGGAGAAAGATGCTCATCTGTCCATCGGGGAGTGCATCTCACAGGTTTGTATCAACCAGCCTGACTTCCTCTCTGATTGTGTAGATTTAAAGTTTGTATAACGTCATCGGTTTTATTTATTTTTACTTTTATTTTCAGGTTCAGCAGATTTTAAGGGAGCGGTTTTGTGGTCAGCAGCTTCCCGACACACCGGAGGGAGTCGAGGCTCAACACAAGTAAGTTACTGAACACATTTATAACACC